TCTGTAACAACGAATTTGATAGCCCTGGGATTGCGACAGGGAGCTTTTTCCTACAGCTATTGGTACCAATGGAGTATTGCCAGGTGCTCATGAACTTGAGCACCTGGCACCGAAATGAATATCGAGCCGGATTTGAAACACAATTAATACCCATACAAATCAACCACCAATATGATATCATAGTAAAGACATACGATAATATTACATATACTAATCCCTAAACAATTTGATATGAGGGTTAGTAAACCTTATGCAAGTTGAATTCGATTATCTATCGTCTTTGTTATCATATGCTAACGCCAGTTAAATTGACAAGATAGGGTGACATTCACGAGTGTGTCTCCTTAACGTACAGAACAATTGCATATACAATGATTACTGAGAGAATGATATGATCTGACATGATGATGTGATATGTGTGACACATAAATACATACAGGTATACCGGCAACGGGTACTGTATATCTCTACTTGGACGTTTGTTCCCAAGGCCAATAAACATTTCATTTTTACTTCTCGTAATTTATTTATTGGCATAAAGATAAAAAAAAAAAATACCGCTTAAAAAAATCAAATTCTTCATATAAAAAATTACAATTATATTGATTTCGAAGAGCTTTTCGACAAACGTTTTAAGAAAGTGAATTACTTGGTTGTAATTTAACAATATCTCCCTGACCGAAAGAATAACTCTGTAGAGGGTTAAGTATTCTTGACAACTGATACGGTTGATGTTTTATACGCAAAATTAAGAATAAAATCTACACAATCGTCTAACATTGTCCGTTTTCACACCATATCAAACAAGTCTTTAATCAAACTGGCAAAATGTATAAAAAAAAATTGATATCCTATTTCAGATAACCTCAATAAATTTATGATTGATAATTCTCTATTTTACTTCCTTTGAAGCAAGCACGGACATGAACTATCAATCACCAACATATATTGATGTCTGTTTGCATTCTTGCAGGTTCAATGACGACAATCTTCAAAGTGTATTCATATATTCATAATAGCTATTGTGAAATTGTGCGTATTTATTTCAATTAATGCATATCACTTACGGGCACCGGTTAACCTCTCAGATCTACCTTAGTTTTCATTAGCTAAGATTTGTTATTGATGATATACTTAAGTCTTCAGAAACAAATTGACTGAGAATGATGAAAACATATTTATAACGGACACAACAATATTTCCCGTCAATCTTCAATGTGTGAAGTCGCCATGATGGTGTAAATGTAGCACAAACATGTCAATAATTCCATGTCGGTTTTTTTAATGATGTAAGATTACTTTTGCTTACGTACTGACTTAATTATAGATGTGATGTTTGTCAGAAATGGTGAGGTAAACATTACCTGTGGTAGTTTAATCATTTCTGTCTTTACTGTCATTCCACTTAAGGATACATACATTACGAACACGATTGTCATTCAAATATATAAAGCATGTGTTCAGTTGCTTTCTTTTAACATTTTTCCTCTTCAGTAAACAAATCATAATATAAAAATCAATTTCCTTAACTGAAAGTTATTATGTGTGGTATGCGTCAGCGCGTATGTGTAATGCGAGCCTGTCCTGTGTAATCGATGTTATCTCGGGGAAAAGTGCACGCTAATTATCGTCACTGTAATTAGGCACTAACGTCATTTACAGGTGAATGTGATCCCGTACACGCTTTACATTGACAATGACGAGTGTGATCCGACCCCTTACAGTAAACAACAACATCATATAGAGCGACACACAGGAGATTATTCGTGGTTGGATGAAGGCGAGACAGAAAGGGGGAATGACAAATGTCCGGTGCTTATCAGATATTGGATAGCAATACATCTTTTCATGATTTGAAGGGAAGTATTTATAGGGGAAGACAATTATTATCAAATTATAAACAATTTGGGTAATTGTCTGTCGTCAATATACTTAACTTAGGATCATTATATCATATGTTATAAACAAATTGGGTAATTGTCTGTCGTCAAAATACTTAAGATAACCTATGATCACTATATCATATGTTATAATTGGAGCATTATTTTTTATCAAACAGTATTACGGATTTGATTGACAGGAGGGTACATCTATGACGTTGTAACAATATGAATAACTGAATGTATATGCTTTAAGGAAGTATTTTTCCAAAACTGATGCTCTTCACAGATATTCACAACAATTTGTATTAACTCATTTTTCTCAGCTCATGGAATCGTCCTAGCATTTACACACAATTTCTATTTACAGGTACGCAACATTTCAGTGTATTATCTATTGTTATAACACAAACAGGTGCTAACTTGTGGGGAGAAACCACATCTATATATACTTTTATAAGATGGATCAACAAATCTTTTTCGACGTTTTTGGAATACATCTTGTACGTGACAGATCATGAAACAGACAAGTTTTTTAACCTACAATGTACGCGTAGAACACTAATTCCGAAAACGTCGTCCACGATGAAATTACTCTTGATAGAATTTTTAATAAACTTTATATCATCATTAGTAGGTTTGTTAAGTAATAGGATCATCGATCATTATATCAATAAAGTTTCTTTTCATAAATATTTATAAATTGCTTAATCAAAGGAATGCTGATATCTTGTTATTTTCTATCGTTCGTGCCTTTTGACTTGCTGTAAATGTCACCTTCTATGACAAGCGATATCTTTAAAACCACAAACACAGCATTGTGCCAATATTGTTTACACCATACAATTTCAATGAGAATATCGATTTTCTCGGTAAATTTACTTTGATATATCCAAATACAATCTCCGTTAATGGAGGAGAGCTGGCGGGACGATTTCCCTTTAAAACTATCCTAATGCTGCAATTTTACTTCGCTATTAACGCTAGGCATCTTTGATATTAATTACTTCGATTTATTTTCGATCGATAGAAGCTGTGAGGTAATGCGTTTTACGCTAATGTAGAATCCGTTTAAGATATATAATTTTTAAGATGTTAAGCCCTGAACATCCTAGAGAAACGTAGACTAGCTAATAGCGTTTGTGACAGGCTTTGACAGGTAATTGATCATCAACACAAGACAGGTTTTAAACGTAAACTTAGATCGACATTTCTGAGAAGGGAACATTTCTATTATGATACTGATCTGAAGACATAGCTAAAAAATGCACCCAATTAATGTATTTGGTGAAAAACACTCATATGAATTCAACTTCTGTAACGAGAGATTTTGAAAAATCATTCTGACTGCATTATTGAAATACGAAACCAGAGAATGTACTCTTCATGCACGAAACATCTATATGGCATTTTTATTATTAGCTTCTACTTAAAAACAGCCATCCTACACCACGTTTACGGTAGCCACTAGACTTAGAAAGAAGAACATAATAAAAGTTCTTATAAAACTACTGACCCCTTTGTTCCTCGTCCACGTACTCCTGACGATGTATTGTGAAGGTCAGGAAATGAAAATAAACCTTGATTGATTATAATGTGGATTCTATTGAGTATAAAGCGCTTTGTGTTTCGGGATGATACGACATGCTAAATACTAAATAATATCACATATTCCAACTCGTCACGATGTTTTTAATGAAAGTCTTTTCCTTGCAGAGAAATTTTAAAATTAAAAGATAAAAATTTGAAATATTCTAAATATAAATTTGATACCATGCTATTTCATTATTACTTCATTCTACTGTTTGCCGGCCCCTTGTAAATTCGTCTGAGGTGTAAACCTATTTAGTATTAAGAAAAGGAATGAGATTGATTTACATGTATTTGCATGAAGCGGATTCTGTTACAAAATTTCACACGAATGTCAATTATCTTTGTGATGGGTACGCGTGAAGACCTGAATGTTCTTATATACTGTATGGGTTGTTTTGGGATATCATGTGCCCCCTACAAACCACGCTGACCCCAACACAATGTCACAGAAATGGCTTTCTGAGCAGGTTGTAAGCCATATTGTAATTGTCCAATAAGACTGTCAATCAGGAATGATAAATCTCCCATTCGATATGTGATAATTAATATTTAAGGTGGTTTATAAACATTTTAAATGTCCGACCCACATCGTAAGCCTCACAAAGGGAAAAGTGAATTGGTTTTTAAACGGTACGGAGCAGGCTATGTGAGAGATAGGCCTACCGCTGTAGGTATGTATTCATTAGACTACGGAGCAGAGTGTGTAATTGTTAGGTATACACCCGCCCATCAGCCAATCAAATGACAATGCCAATCGGGTCACCAAAGGTCAATGGAATGTACTCATGCGATGAGAATAGGTTTGTCTGAACAGTTATAATACGTTAAAGAAACGCACATGGCAAACGGCAGAGTTATCGGTGTGGGGGTAACGGAACATCGGAGACACAGTCATTTTAACAAATTCCAATCATTTCAACGACGGCCACAGACAACAGGCATGCCTTATTACCCATCATGTAGGAGAATTATCGATACGGATTAATTACGAAGCTTTCCGGATTTAATATAAACAGATATTGATTAGCGTCTGGGTTGTATCACATATACAGTTACTGGTTACGCTTGTCTGCTTTTACATTACGCTCTGGTGTAAGCACTGTAACCTGTAAACTAGTGTACGAGACTAATGCTTGTGTTTCCCCGTGCTTCATAACTTCCTATGCGAGGTCGCCTCCGAGTCGGTGAATGACGATGTGCCTCTGTGTGACAGTGTCATTTTTACTGTGTTAGTGGTACGTATTGGAAAGTATATATACCATGGAGATGGATTATCATCAAAATCCATATAAATGTAGACTAAATATTTCTGTGCCACCTGGAAAGGAAGGACGATTTAAGAAAATTGTCTCGCCATTGATGAAATGGATCGATCCATCTTTCCAAATGTTACAAATTGCAAATGACAATGCAGCTGAATGGAAGATTCGGACTAACAAAAATCAAACGCGTCCGCCACATTGCGAGGAAAATATTGTAATGGTCCCTTCTATTAGCATTATGCTATTCCTATATGAGCACGGTTCAATGTCGGCAGCGGACGTGCAAAAATGTCTGAAGACAAAACCTTGGAAGTTCCACCACAAAGTGGAGTTACACAGCAAATGGACACCGGACAGGGCCGTGGCCGCCCAGGAGTTTTACGGGCTGGCAGACGACATGCCTTTATGGTCAGTTTGTCCAGTACATTGTGGAAATGAACATTTTCGTGTTTTATATCACGTTCAAAATTTCCAGAAGATGATGGAATTCTACAGATGTGTAACCGATATGGAAATAGAAAGCAGCAAACCAGGATTCTGTATATTTCAGTTGTATTCACAACCTGGGTTGGACATTCAGCTTGCCTTAAAACAGTCAAAAAACATTCGACCCTACCCCGTGCATAACGCTTGCCTTACGTTCCAGATAAAACACATTGATTCTCTGAGGGCATTTCTGGACTGTGAAGTTACGGAGATCAGTGACCGAACTTTCCTGGTACAGGATCCTGATGGGAATTATGTGATGCTACAGGAGGAGTTAAGCAGTGGTGTTACAACAGAGTACGAATCTCTGGATATATTTCAAACGCGAGATTCGCACTCAGGATCTAAGTTCGATTCCAATGGATATTCGAAAAGCCTGCGGAGTTCCTCGGACAGTCAGGATTCGGGAAGGTGTTCTGATAGTGATATTTGGTCCAGTGAAGTGGAACAGATCAAAAGCAACAACAAAAACGGTAATAAAAATTCAGTTAATCAAGGTAATAGGTACTCCGCGCCAGGACAGTGCGGCGGCGACGTCATAGGATGTTACCCGGGGTATGTAGTACCCGACAACTATCGCCAGTGGGAGAGGCAAAGTCAATTAACTTTCGACACAGTCCAGAGACATAATACTGAGTCGGTGCGAGGAGTGGAAGCCCCAGTTTTCATATGAAACTGAACAATCGCATCTGTCAATGGCAGAGCCCCCCTGACGGGTACAAAGATTACTGGTAAAAACATAGACGTTTCCTTATATATTTGAGCTTTTCATAGTTGATGTCTTTTACGGGGATTTTCTATGGAGATGTTTTTGGATTATACTTCGCTGTGTCAAGGGTATTTATCAAGATAGGTAAATTTTCGTTCACAAGGATATATAACACCTCATTTCCCTCAGCGTTATGACAAGCTATCTGTGACATTTACATCTTTATCGAGACCAGTAAAGCAACCCCTGTTAAAGATGTAAGGCGAAATATGAGCAACTGCCGTTTATTGTCAATCTTTATTATTCTTAAAACTGATGTTAGCATTTAAAACCTTATTTAAAACCTAAATTAAAATTCCATAAAAATATCCCCGTATCATGTTTACATAGAGGATATTTTCACACAAACTGAAATGGGTACGGGAACTAAAGTCGACTTTCTCGCTACAGGATATGTCTGTTGATATGAATATCACACTGTGTCCTTGTCATCTCTCATTCTTCCTACTAAACAGAATGAACAATGACTAGACTCCAGATTGTTTTCCGTCCCAATATGGGGTCTAGGCCGAGGACATGTTTGTCTGTGTGTTATGCTCCCTGTAGAGTGCGCGAAAAGTACAAAGATTTGTTTGGAACTCCTCCCTAATCATAGAGTAGCGAGAGTGAGAATGATGGCTGCTTGGGAAAGGCTTAAATTGAATAGTGTGCAATATATCAAAACCAATTGTAAATGTATACCTTAGCTGATAGCTAAAAGGAAGCAGAAAGGGTATACAAAGACGTGTGTATCGACTGCTGCGGTTTGTTAGGCACATGAGAACCGACATTTTGCACTTGTGTACATTTAGATTATTCTATTGATAATCTGTATGATAAGTACATTGTCCTCTCAGGCGTTCATCCAGTGAGACGTGTAAATAGGTTCAAAACACTTTCCCGTTTAAAACAGACTTCACTGACGCACTAGCGTTAATTGGGAAATAATAATCCCGGGTACAGTGTGTGTTTAATGCTAACCTGCGATCGCGGTGCATGGTAGCGCTGAGTATCGTCTTAACCAAGTAGAAAGCCGACTGTATACCATGTCCATTCATTGCTACACACGCTCATTATAAAATAAGAAAAAGTGTTTACTAATACACCCTATTTATTGATAAGAGTACAGATAAATACTAATGGATTTGCAGGCATTACTTGGTAAGGGTTTTTAACGTGTTTTGAGCCAAAAAAATCGGTCTCAACTACTCTACGCCGGGGAAAAAATGAATAACAAATACCGCACACAAAATCAACTATTTTTATGAAGAGAATAATTTAGATTGAAAATTGACCTGTGGTAACCCAACATTCCTGGTAAATAAAGTGATATATGGTACACAGGTAATGCAGTAGTGGATTGAACATACACGTAGGTTAGAACCCCACCGGCATATTTGCTGTACTGAAATATACCAGATAGTCATAAAGTGTGTAACACGTGAATGTTCTACAGGGTTGTTGTGAGAGTCGATAATGTTTACTAGTCATCTCCCCAATTAACATATCTTTAGGCATCATACAACCGGGACATCATTACAAGATATAAGTCGGCAGCTATTACGTCAATATAACTACAAATATTTATCTATTAATTGTCTGGAATGCTGTACCGTGTATCTATTATTAATTGATATAACACAAAACTTACCTTCATTACCATGTTGTTAAGGATTGTTATTGTTCCAGATACATTTTTATTTCAGAATAGTATCTGCAATTCTGTGAAACAATGTAGGGGCCATGGCTTTGATGTGTCGCTATACTTATTTACTGATGAGATTAGTATTAATGTAGAAATTATAACATGTGTATTGTCTTAATGTGCCAAACCTAGTTAAGGAATTTGATATTAAATTAAAAAATGAAAATAAACATTATTTTTGTTATATTTGTATTCATAACCTGTTCAATGAACGTGATGTGTTTTAAATACATGCGTATATTTGTTTTGCAAAAAGAAATGCATAAATAATTTTAAGTTTCAAAATAAGTACCTTCCATCGCACTTCGGCCAGGAAAATATATTATATTATATAGCACACACCATGTTATCCATACTGTAATTTTCAAAACAAAATCATACAAAGTATACCCCTAAAAACTTTTGACAACTTAAAAACAAGATATAAACATAAGTATTAAAGTTTGATTTTGTTTTATCCTTTCTTGTTTTTGTGGTGAAGGTATACAGAACCATGTCGGCTATTTTGATAAAAAAAAATACATTTCATCTTATTGACAGGATTTATTTCTCAACGACTACACTTGCCATGCTTACTCCCCTGTTTTGATTTTGTTACCGTTACTTTACAGAGAACCAAACGTCCATAACATTTGTCAGTCTACTGATTATTTCAAGTATACTAAAGAAATTATTGTTTATCATTTACCAGGAGATTTTCTTTTTAATCAATAAAAAAAACCACAGATAAAATAATTAAGACTTCTTCCCTGAATTATATCATTGAACATGTAATTCCATAACATATATAAAAGCTCACCGTTTTGGGGTGTTTTTTCCTCAATAAATAAAGTTTATTATTATTATCATTATTATTAGTGTCAGATTTGGTGAAAGACCAATCAAGTATTAGTTTTATTTCAAAAACAATTCTGACTTATAATGGACCCAGATTCCGTTCTCGTTATGCCTCTCAAAACGTCAAGAAATACACTGGTTCTAAAAATTATACAATTTTATGTACAATTCTAAAGCATACAAAAACGATTAAAAGTCACCTACTTCATTCCAGAAAATACACAAGTCACCCAAGGGGATATATGCCAAACATTATGTACAGATCATGAATGGATTATCATTCACATTAACACCTATTGTTTTCGACACAACAAGATAAAATGCATTTTACAAAGCAAAGAAACACAAATGTTACTCCTAAAAATCATAGGCTATGTGCATAATAAACAGGGGATATGTTGGGATGTGAACTGAAGATGACTCTCGAATATCACATAGTTAGTATCATAATATACACATAAGTGATTTGAAGGGCGTAATACGACTCGGTTCATATATGACCCGCAGGCCAGATATACTGAAATATCAAACCATAAACATTCTAAATGATCTACAATGCAATTAAGTTCGATCAACAAGAAGAAAATTTAAATGCACGTCATTTCGCTCAAGAGATCAGGAAACGTGTTAGTGTCAAATCATGTGTAGTGTTATAGGTCTGCTTATAGTGAATGGTGTCCAACTCGACCTTAGAAACGCACATAGTGTATAGGAAATATGATTTCATAATTCAGATTTCTATATCTTTACTATCAATATGATGTGTCAGCGTGATAACATGGTTCTCATCCTTTTGTCCGAATCCTATTGTACAGGTCTAATAAAAGAAAATATACTAAAATAAAAATAAATCAGATACTCAAAACATCACTTAAGCCAGAAAACAAACATTCTTATACATTTTACCATATAAAAGGACTCCTATTGTGTGTAGGTCTGTGACAACAAAATATCTGAAATGACAATCCGGTGCACAGAACATCACTTAAGCCGGAAATCCAACATTCTTATAAATTTTACCATATAACAGGACTCCTATTGTATGTAGGTCTGTTACAACAAAATGTCTGAAATGACAATCAACTGCACAGAACATCACTTAAGCCTGAAAACAAACATTCTTATAAATTATACCATATAACAGGACTCCTATTTTATGTAGGTCTGTTACAATAAAATGTCTGAAATGACAATCAACTGCACAGAACATCACTTAAGCCTGAAAACAAACATTCTTATAAATTATACCATATAACAGGACTCCTATTGTATGTAGGTCTGTTACAACAAAATGTCTGAAATGACAATCCGGTGCACAGAACATCACTTAAGCCTGAAAACAAGCATTCTTATAAATTATACCATATAACAGGAGATTTACACTTATTATATAAAACGTAATATGATTGAATGGAGTTTAAGTTTTCAGTTCACGAATTGCATAATATCATTATTAACGCACGTTTCATCTGCTGAAACAAATCTATTTTTTTGCAATACATCAAAACATATCATCACTGAGGTACTCAAACCTGAGCATATTTATAGTTTTGATCAATTCAAACGATAGTTGTACTTGTATTAGATTCTCGTACGTTTTCTTAAAATAAAATTATGTTCCTCGTTGCCTTTTAAACAAGTTAGTTACAGAAGGTTACAATGTTTGTTGAAGAAACAATATTTGTGTTGGGTAAACATAATGTGAGACTGTTAATAGCTTGTGTCAGGTAAAGCGACAATTAATTTCTGCACATAATCTCAAAAATAAACATAACGACATAATCTTTCTCTTCATTACGTTAAGAAATACTTAACATATCTTATCAAAACACGAATTAAGAGCTGCAATAATTCTTTAATCACCACAGACCGCTCTTAATTGTATATTTTGATAATGTGATACAAGCCTGGTATTGATACATTTTCTTAAATATCGCTACAATTATCAATAATCGAGGAATGGAGTGTTGGATTGGAGAGGATAATAGCTGTAACCAGTTACAGTAGCATGTAGAATAGGCATCACGCGAGATATAACGGACACGTTTTGTGTGCGCAGTCAACGTGTCACTGATAAAGAGATAGGTTACAGGTATGTTGTGCCAGAATTACACAGTATGCGTCGTACTTTGGACGTCATGTAAAGACAATTGTTTTAAAATGTTGCTGCAACAATAGACCATTATTGTTCTATTTTAAATGCTACATATTGTTTTTGCAATTCGATGAGGAAGGTAATACAACTGAGATTAAAGGTTTTCTTTGGGGCATGGTTGTGGTTTTTGGATTCGCAGTATTTAAGTATTTATGGTCAGTCACTATAACGGTCCTTTGTTTTATAAGTCTGATACGTGGGCTTCTTACACATCGAACGAATATACCT